GTTTTTGATCCATATCGAAAATGGTTTTGAAAAGTTTTAATAAAAGTTGATTTTGTTCAAATTAATCTTTTTACAACTTAGACCATTTTTGGACCAAACGGAAAATTTTTAGCACCCACAATCTTCAATTTCATTGATTTCAGTACAGAGTTCTCATACTCTTGATTACAAATTGAAGTTATTTTTTATTACATTCATAAAGAAAACTTGAAAGTTCTGATAAAGCAATAAATTCGGGGCATGGATAAGTCAGGTGTTCCTGCGCCCCCTTCCAGAGCTGGTCGAAGCCTCTGATGCCAAAGTGGGCCCAACCCGCGCCTCTTCGTCAAGCCAAGTTATGCATTCATCAGTGAGAGTACAACTGAAAGTAAAAGCGGGGGCCAGACTCTCTCTCATCGTCCATGTTCTGGCATACCAACCTAGCTGTGCGCCTTGGACTAGAAATGTACTAGGGTACTCCATCTCTTTATCTAGGCAAGTCTGATCATGACCAAACTGACGCCGGATTCGAAATGAGAAGTAAAGGACACAGTGTGTCAAGCCAATCAACTAAATCCCTGGCTGGCGAGTCATGCTGTAGCTCATCGCTGGCAAATTAAGCCAAGGGCAGCACCAAGCAATGTCAAGGGCAGATAGACTGCACATCCACTCATACCACCATCCCTCATCAGGGGCATCGACTGGACGTCGCCAGAAGAAATAATTGTGAGCTGAATATGCTGGGCATGAGTCCAAGACCTTCAATTTATCCATCAACCATATCTGGGGAGGGATAAAAAAATGAGAGATTAAATATTAGAGAGGTGTACGTTGAGTGGAAAAGTGAGAAAAGGGTTTTGAGAGAAAAATCAAGCCTGAGGGCCGAGTGATGTTGTAGACACCCCATTTTTGACCGTCCTCAAGACTTGGACGTCATCGTTTGGACACTCGGTGATTATCCATGTTTGTGTTCGTTTGGAGTTCCCGGAGGTCTCGGCTCGCGCGCCTTGCCTCAGGATCCCCGAACTCGACCGTTTAGTGTCTGGTTTTGCACCAAACACTTGCATCTTGCCTTTGAGAGGCAGGGTGGGGCTTGTAGACCATCCCCACCCATCACCGGCAGTGGCTAGAGGCCACCGGCTGGTGTTTTCTGCCACCGGCAATGTTTATTGCCGGCCGGCACTTTTTGTTGCCGGTCAGCACTATTTAGTGCCGGCCGGCACTCTCTTTGGCCAAGATGGTATTTTTGGCCGGCCGATTGCTGTTCATCTGCTTTTGCAGATATTTTTAAACAGCTGTCTTGCTTTTGCTCCCCTCCATACACGTTTATGGAGGGATCTCCCTCTTGTAAAGCTTGTCTTGTAAGCTTTACAAGACAATATAGAGAGAAGCTCTCTCTAAGGCAAGAAAGAGAGGTTTTGTTAGAGACTTAGGATATTTTTGAGAGCAAGAACAGCCATTGTTTGGGTTTGAGTTCTAGGGTTAGAGTTAGATACACACTCTATCTCTCTTTCCTTCTCTTTTGTTCACTAGGTGTTTTAGTCCATACTATTGCACACAAACACCTAGTGTTTCACCTTCCTCTTGGAGCTGAGGTTCCAAAGAGTGTGTTTTGAGATTTTGGTGTTGGATTCAAGCCAAGGAAGGCCATTGGAGCACCATTGTTGAAGAAGGCTTCAAGGGTAAGAATCTCACCCCTTTATTCCCCATTTTTGCACCTTATTTCTACCTGTCTTAAATTCGTTTTTGAGC